ATCTATCTATCTATCTATCTATCTATCTATCTATCTATCTATCTATCTATTTTAAGACCAGTAAATCCATACACAATCTTAACATGCTATGTGATAGCATAGGAAATATGATATTTCCTAGGAAAATAGAAGGTTAAAGTGCGCAAACAGGTGACATTTGAATTAGAATAGTGTGGAAGGTTTTGAAACTAATGACTTTTGGCACCTTCCTAGGACACAGTGTGTTTTCTTGTTCTGTTTAAACTACAGTCTATCAAGGGTAATAATTTTCCAGATCATCCTAGTAATTCTTCCTGTAAGAAAATGCACAATTCATTGTCATCCAGTGCCTCATGGACCTAGTAACGCCTCTATGCATGGTGCCTAGTTTTTATATTTCACAAAATGAACAGAGAGGAAATAAGAGAAGGAGGGATAAGAAGAGTAGTGAGCCAAAGTTTGGCCTGGTTCTCTCTCTCTCTCTCTCTCTCTCTCTCACACACACACACACACACCCATCCCCCCCACCCCATCCTTGCTTTTCTCTAATGTGAGACAAATATACTTGTTTTCAGGAGTTCACAATAGAAGAGAGAATTTTTTGTTTTTATATAAAAAGTTGTCATGCTTCTATTGAATGTGCAGTCCCGTCTCTAAGAATTGACCTTGCCAGTTAAAAAAAAAATAATGGTACTAAAATAGATCTGAATTTCACCAATCTTTAATTCTCCAGTATAAGAACAGAGATAAAATTCATTGTGATCTGCACAGCACAGGTAGATGTAATTTAAGAAAGCTGAAATAACAATTTTACACAAAAACATAAACAAATAAACAAAAGACTGGTAAAATTTCAAAGTACAAATATGTTTATTCTAAACTATATATTAGTTCTGTTTTTCTCTGAAAATAAGCACCATTGGGATACAACAGGAAAGAAAGCTAAAAATTGAGTTCCCAAGCTCAAGTTTTTCCTAGCCTGGCAGGGGATACATAAGTGAACAATCTTGTACAATTCAAAATTACGATAGGGAATAGAGTTCAGACCTTCCTTAATAAAAGTGCCAACAAACAGAAGCTAAAAGGATAGGATATTTAATTCCAGTGACATAAGGTTTTGTATATGAATGGAGTATTATGGAATTGCAATATATAGAAAAATATAGAGATGGTACTCTGATAAAGTTTGGTGCATAAAAAGTGCACAATGTGTTCAAAAATGAACATAACTCTACAGGAAGAAACTTGAAGCGGGATGAATGCAGATATCACTGTGTTAATTCTGTGCTGGAATCTCTAGAGATAATGACACTGTGATGCTCTTTTAACTTCATCAGGTAACAATGAGACAAGCCCCATCTAGGCTCTCTTGAAGGGAAATTTAGGTGTGCTTGTCAAGTTGTATATGAACTTGTACAAAAGAGGAAGAAAAGAAGCAGAAGATATGGTTTTGTAATATTGTAAAGAAAGGAAATTTTCAATCCTATAATCAAAAAAGCCACACGTTGTGGAAAAAAAGGAATATATGAGAATTTTACAGCAATAATGTTGGATAATTTGGTTACCATAATGTCCATTCATGTAGAGTCTCAACCCCATTCATCTCTGAGGCATGCAATGATAAAGAAACTATTACAACTTTCTGTTTTACTGCCTCTTTCATTCTGATATCTAAGGCAGCAGCATCTCTCTGGAATGTCCCCAAAACAGTATATTCAATGCTGCTACCATTGATTAAATACAGTATCACAGATGATTTGGGTTTTGTAAATAGACTGGTTTCTAAAATGATATTATCTGTCTTTGTATGGAAATACACAGATAAATGGCTTAGTTTACATCAAAACAAAATGCATGGAGTACATTATTCATCAAAGTCTTTAGCATGTGTGTTATGAATACCTCTACAATGCATTGAAAATGACCAGTTCGATTCCCTCATTATATGTCGAATAGTTGTATATGGTCCCATATGCAAAATAAGTCAAATATTCAATACACCGTTAAAACTAATATTCATAAATGAAATATATTGTAAATGATTTAAAAATATGATTCAGTCACAGAATGATTAATCTATAAGTCATTTCCATCTCCAAAATTATGTAACTACCAAGTTAATGCATATTGAACAGATATGTACATTCATGTATATTTTGTTTGCTGGTGTTCTTTCTTAGGACATTTAAGGTTTCACAAACCCATAGAAATATTGTCTGTGACTTAGGTTAGAAGAAATGCATATTTTTTTCTTTACTGTCAGGCTTTGCAATCCCAGTCCTTAGCAAAATCTATCTCTCAGCTATTCTCTAGTAGATTTCATTATTCTAATTTTGTTATTCAGTATCTTGTAGGTAATTTTTCACTTGTATTCCTTGACTTATCTTCTGAAAAATTTTTGTATTAGAATACTGTTTGAGTAATGATTAAGATTTTATAGTTGTGGAGAAAAGTGATCACATTCTTTTAAGGAAATTCTTCAGCTGGTTGCTTTAGGATGAACATTTTTCTCAGTGAAGATACTCAGGGCACAACCTCTGCATTTGACAAGTGATTCCTTGTGGACCACTTACACTTTGATTAGAACATAACAACACAAACAAGCAGCAATAACAGTGGTAAGAAAAATGCAAATCAGTCTTTTCAGGTGCACATTAAGAAAGAGACTCATATTGTCAATCAATGACTTGTATATCTAATATTGCTTATTTATTGACTTTGTAAGACTCTGGTAGCTGTCAACAGTATTTGCCCCAAGGACACTTACTTTCTGTTGATTTTCTTGCTTGTCTTTTAAAATGCTACATGAGGAAATATCATACTTGAAGAATAACTTTCTTAACTCTTTGCAGAGGACAAGAAAGTTAAGACTAAGGAAAAGACCGAAGAGAAGATGAAGAAGGAAATGAAGGTTGGGAAACAAGAGAAAGGGAAGCCAGCAGCTGCAAAAGTAAAAGAAGCTCCTCCGAAATCCCCACCAAAGGACAGGGAAAGGGATGACAAAGAGACCGCATCTGTGCCTGAACATGAGCAGAAAGGTAAACATTCTGAGGAGGCCACAGTTGAAGGTTCTAAGAGAATCTCGGGCAAGAAGCAGATGCAGTCAAATTAAATGCTGAAAAACAATAAAATTAAACTTCAGATAGAGTAAAAAGACAGATCCAAGCTGATATGCCTGAAAGGAAGCACAGCAAATTGGGTATTAACATACTAATAAATATACGAAAATGTGTTCAAATAGCTTGATGCATTTTCAAGTATTTGAATGGCTGTTGAGTGAGCACCTGGAGTTATTTAACTGTGAGGAGGAGAGAGGGCATCTTGAGGATTTCAATCAGGAGTTGGAATAACAATTGAACAATTGGATGTGTCAGACTCTGGGGAAAGGTGGTTTTAAAAATTGACAGCCACCCTTAAGGACTTGCTCAAGAAGTCAATGCACAAATCATACAGATGAAAAAAAGTCATGAAAAGCTTATTTTTGTTTTTTGGTTTTTCAAGACAGGTTTTCTCTGTGTAACAGCCCTAGCTGTCCTGAAACTAGCTCTTGTAGACTAGGTTGCCTTGAGCTCACAGAAATCTGCTTGCCTCTGTGTCCTGAGTGCTGGAATTAAAGGCATGTGCCACCATTGCCTGGCTGAAAACTTACTTTTTTGATAATTGTGCAACGATACCATTCAGGACATGTGCATTAAATCAATGATCCATTTAATTGTTGCAGAAACCTGTTGTAAGAAAAGAAAGTGAGAGGTGCTTTTTTAGTCCCCTTAGAAAATCTCTAGGAAGCTTTTCATAGGACAGGTGTGCTGTTCTTCAAGTACGACACATCTACTCTCTTCCCAGAAATATACCATTTAAATGGAGAAACAATTCTTAACAGAAAGTGTAGTATGAATATAAAATTGTTAATAAGGTCCTCTTTGTCCCACAATTAGAGTCCTTCTTAGTTCTCCATCCCAAATTCATTCCTCAGTCCAGGTTGCTACACATTCATACTTCCCTATTCAGAACACAGGGTCTGTTCAGTGGGAACTATTTCTGAGAATGATCTGTCTTTTCTTATGAATGTTAGAAAATAAACTTCCTTTGCTCCAGTAGCAATTGAATAATTTTATTCAAAAACTAAAGTGAACTGATTTGTATCTATACTACTTTACTGTTATTTTTAAACTTTATTATTAGGAAGGCTATTTGGTCTGTAGAACTAGAAATGCTTTTTTTTCTTAATATAAGCTACACAATATGAATTACAAACTCTGTATTTTCACTTTATCTTCCCAACTTCACACTGTTTATAAACTTTAGTACAGAAGTAATGCATGTAAATTTATATTTATATAACAAAAGACATATATATATAATATTTTTCAAAGGAAACAAGGAAAGAAAAAAAGGAGTGGTTACTTTTCTGAGTTCTTTTAGTAGTTCATAAAGTTTACGTAGTGTGAACCTATTGTTTTTGAAATGATTATAGGATCTTGAAATTTGAAAATTTAAAATGTTACCTTTGTAAATAATGCTATGTATGAATGTATGTGCTGTAGAAGAATGCAATAAAAATTAAATGGGTATTTTTCTGTAGTAAAAATCAGGAAATTTAATTTTTGATTCACTAGATAAACTGTTGGATACTTTGCATTCCAAATTTCCCTTTAAAAGAAGAAAAGAGTAAGAAGAAACCAATTAAAACATATCAATATATTTAGTCTATAATTTCATTTTATAAAACATATGCCACTTAGACTGAATATCAAAATACTTCCTTAGTAACTAGGCAGTAACACACAGTTTGAGAGGTTTACTTTTAGGGTCCCCCAGGGTTGGGGAACCATAGTCCAATGACAAACTGATTGCACCAAAAAAATTTCCAAGGGTGTTTTTCAGGTCACAAACATTATATTTTGTCATATCGTTAATACACTTATATTAATAATACACTTATTAACGATATAAATCTATCCCAATTTGATTTGAATTTACTTTTTTGTGTTTATGTAAAGAGCTAGTTGTCCTTTGAAACGAACCCCAAATATCACTTCCAGTTAAAAACAGAGGCATCAAAAGAATTCTAACCCTAAGTAAACAGAAGGGTAAGGCATGGCCCCTACTGAGAACTGCTACCACCAGTTAAATAATTGTATGAGTAGGTAGAATATTAAAAAAATTAACTTAGAATTGCTGCTTAAAGGCAAGACTATTTTTTCCTTCCTTCTCTTCTCCGACCCTCCCTTCCTTTTTCCCTCCCTCCCTCCTTTCCTCCCTCCATTCCTTCCTTCTTTTTTAACTAAGCTGATATTCAGAGCATTTGTTTTTAAAATGCTGGTCACATGGTAGGAATAGTTTAAAGAAAATGAAGAAAAGGCATTTTTACTTTTTGAAGAAGAGGTAGCTTCCATTTTTAAATTCATAAATTTAAAATTGAGTTATTCTTTTCTGGACAAAATTAGGTATATTTGCTTAATTGAACTATGTCTACCAAGGGTGGATGTATATATATGTACATTTATACTAATTTGAAATTTTTATTTTCAAATTAATGCTGAGCGTATATGTCTACGTGTGGATTTGTGCTGAAAAATACAGGTGCCCTCCAAGGCCAGAAGAGGGCATCAGATTCCCAGGACCTGGTTTTAGAAGGTGAATTTGCCTCTTCTCCAAGAGCAGGAAGCACTCTGAATAATTGGATGGGTTCTCCAGTTCCCTCACTCAGATTTTTTTTTTTTTTAAATCCCTTTAAACACCCAATGCCCTTGGTTCGTTTGGAAACAGTCTTATCTTGGATAGACATTTCTTAGTAGAATTTGCTTATAGAGTAAAAGTATCAATAAACACCTCAATTGATTACTTCCAACATTTACTTTTGCAGTATATAAACAATGTACATATAATTAAAGCATTGAAAATGCTTACCATAAAGCTACCCATCATATAATCAGTTTTTTATAGACCATTTCATTTTCACTCAAGGTGAGTTGACAAAGTTGACATGATTTGACATTTCTCCCTGGTTTCTGCTGCTGTCTGTCAAGTCTGTGAGGAAATAAAAATCTCACAGCTGTTATATACTACGCTCATTCTTTTGTTATTTTCATTATTTTTTTCTAAGAATGATTCAAGAACCGGTGGCTGCCAGAGAAAGTATAGCTAATGAGAACCCGCCATAGAGCACCAGACCACAAGCACCTCATCCTCATTAGAGGTTGTTTTTTTTTTTTTTTTTTTTTGAAAGCCTTTTCTGCTAATTCTCTGTGCCCAGAATGCATTTTCCTTTTACTGGTACTCCTCTGGGAGCAACATCTGGGCATCAGCACCGGAGTGTCATGGCCATTACTCCCTGGGGAGCAACAAGGCAGGAATGGACAACATAAAATTAATTCTAGCAGAATGTTTTTTTGCAAAACATCTTCAAAGTGACCAAATATAGAAGTAAGTTACTACCCCATAACTATTAATGCCCAACAGCCAGGACACTGCCAAATAACTAACTAACTTTCTTTCTTTCTTTCTTTCTTTCTTTCTTTCTTTCTTTCTTTCTTCCTTCCTTCCTTCCTTCCTTTCTTTCTTCTTTCATTCCTTTCTTTCTTTTCCTCTTTCTTCCTTCCGTCCTTCTCTCTCTCTCTCTCTCTCTCTCTCTCTCCACCTTCTCCCTATCCCACCCTTATCCTCTCCTCAGACATGGTGAGGCCTCCCATAGGAAGTCAACAATGTCTGTCACATCACTTGAGGCAGGACTGAGGCCCTCCCCCTATATCTAGGCTGAGCAAGGTATCCCTCCATAGAGAATGGGCTCCAAAGAGCCAGGTCATGAACTAGTGGAAAATACTGGTTCCACTCCTAGTGGTGCCACAGACTGCTTAAGCCACAGAACAGTCACGCACATTTAGAGGCCCAAGTTTTTTCATGTGCGGGTTCTCCCACTGTCATTCCGGAATTAGTGAGCTCCCACTTGCTCCACCTTTGTGATCTTAACCACTTTGCTCATAATATTGCTCCTCCTTCTCTATAGCTGGATTTCAGGAGTTTATCCCAGTGCTTAGCTGTGGATCTCTGCATCTGCTTCCATCAACAGATCTTCTTTAAGAGTAGTTTCCTCCTGTGTTGAGTTGGGTCTAGAGAAGTATTACTGTAAAATGAATATTCTAGAATCCAGACGACTTGACTATGTTCTGTTCTCAGGCAGGTGAAGACCAACAACAGCTTCCTAGAATTTCCACATATTGCTAAAGTCAGCCCTGAGGACAGGTGGAATTCAGCATTATAATAAAAAAAATCTAAAGCCTACATAAATATTCTTCTTAACTTCCACTTGTTTTGTTGAAGTTGTTAGAATGCAAAGTCACACATCATTTGCATGTAGCAGTTACTTTTAAAGTCTAAGTAATATTCTAGATAAAAAAAACAATAAAAAAGACCACCACCAACAACAAACAAAACCTTTTTGAATCCACAAAAGATTTTCCATTTCATATCAAACTCTTATTGAACAATTGAACTATTATATTTCATATTAAATCCTTATTGAATCTTATTGAAATCCAAGCATTTAAGTAAATGAATGACTTTTGGAACCAGGAGTCATGGGCATAATAAATATAAGTGGTTGATACCACATTGAAAGGTTTCATTGCCCTGTAAACAATCAATTCACAAGGAAAACTAGAGGGTGCTTTTAGTTAACTCACAGAAACATCCAGCATATGATTCCACCAGGGAACAGAAAACAGTATTAGATTTTTGGAGAGTGTTATACCCCAAATATAGCAAGGAGGAAGGCCAAATCCATCACTGTCCATCTGAAACAAGCTGTATTTAATACTGGCCATGTCCATATCTGAGATTTGCAGAGAAAGATTCTAAATTAGGTCAGTCAGGTGTCTGTAAATACCAAAACCACAAGGCTAAAGTACTTCCAACGTATATCCAATGGGGGCAAACAAACAACCTGAAGGACTTCTAACCTACCTATCTCTTACCCATGTATGATCAAGCACATTCTATGCGGTTGGAGCAGCCAATTTATTTACAGATGTGAAAACACACGTCTTGTTGTCTTACATGAACAATATCCCCCAGCATTCCAGGAAGTAATCTGTCCTTGGGAAGGTGGGGCTTACAGGTTAACTCTAGACTGGACAAGTATACAAACCCTTTCATATCATAAATAGTCGGCACCTTATAAATTTTGGACATATGTAACAAATAACAGGGAAAATTGCTACTCCAGAGGATTAAATTACACATAATGAATTTTTTAAAATGTAAATGAAGGAAAAAGAAATAGGGAAAAAGAAATGAAGGGTTGAAGACAGTGATTCTGTGTGTGACTTTGTTACTCTCTAGGGATCTTGATTGAGTGGATTTTATTTGCCAGCTAAAGAATTAAAATTTAGAAAATTCTGGAGTGCCACAGGTAGCAGCAGGCAAAATATCAGACAGAATAATCTGCTGGAGAAACGTTTTTGTTAAGGGTGAGGAAGCAGGGCCCCTGATTGGAAGAAATATCTGTAGAGCAGAATGGGCGCATGGAAAGCCCAAGCCCCATGTCACCTGGAGTGCTGTTGTTTTAAAGTCTTCCTCTCCAAATTTAAGATGAATCAGTTTGAACAAAGGCAAAGAGAGGGATTACGGATTTTAGGCAAACATCCTGCTCAGGTATTGAACCCAGAAGACTGATGCCCCAGCAGGGAGCCCTAGTGGAGGAAGGAAAAGGATGCCAAGCTTGATTTTAAACTGTTCTGGATGTGGAGGACGCCATCTTCTTTATGTATCGGAGACTCCTGTCCCGGTCTAGCTATCAGCGATCCAACTCTGAGTCTGTCAGTATAATTAGGCAATATGGGGGCTACTAGCAAAGTACACTTGTAACAAACACACGGGGTTACAGATTGGTGAGTAACAGATCCCATACATCTACATTTTTGCTATTTCCTATTTTGTGAGAAACATGCCAGAATCATAGGAAGGAAAAGAGGAAGAAGCAGTCAGACAAGATCCTAAACAAGGGAAATGATGAGCATTTCACGCTGCTCCAAATTCACATATTCCATTTAAAGAAAAAAAAAGATTATTTGCTTTGTTTTATAGCAAAATTATTTGTTCTTCAAGAAAGAAATCCCACACTAGCTCAGAGTTCAGTATAATACAGGGTTATTTATTTAGGGATAGACTCACAGATCACAATCCTTTGCTGGAACAGGGAGCAGTCACCTAATCAAGCAACTGGAAAAGAGGCCTGATGTGCTTTATCAGCATATATGGTATAAGAGGCCACGCCTAAGTTGGCTGGTACCTTTAAGGCTACTATTCTGCAGGCATTCCTACAGCAAAAATGTGTCCAGAGAAGACAAAAAAGACAAAAGAGGAAAAAAAGAGAAAAAGAAAAAAAAAACCCTATTTCAATGTACTTTGCCTAACACCCCAGAATTTCCAGAGCCTGGGATTTAACAAAAATTACCATTGAAGGTGCTTCAGTGAACAAGTAGATTCGTGGACCAGTCTGAAAACCAGCCTTTTCCTACTCCTCCCTTCATCTCAGCAACCCGAGTCAACATAAGCTTTGATGCCCTAATGTCTTGATTAAAAAAAAAAAAGAGATACTAATTTTTAGATTTTTTGCAGTAGCTTCATTTACTTTTTTAAAGAAACAAGCAGAACTTCATAATGCAATCATTTTCAATTGATGTTAACACTATGAAAAAATGAGGTTTATAAATATTCCTGGGTATGTACTTACATGGAAATATAGTTATTTTCTGTTTTATAAGAAATAATTTTGAAGAATTAAAACTTGTCATACTATAAAATTCAATAAACTTTCTTGGTGCTAAGGTGTCATTTACTTTTGGTGGGTTAATAAAATGCCCAGTACAAGGGCACTCAAATGTAAATCATTAAATACAAGATTAATAATATATAAAAGTTTTGAAGATGTTATGGCAAGGTTTATGAAAACTTTTAAAGATCTTTTATAGTGGAAATTAGAGTTAGATTGACCACAGGGGAATACAAAGTTTGCAAAACTATAGGTATTCATGGAATATGTGTTATAAGAGGTGAAAGCAAAAAATCCAACTCCTGAAGCCACTGTGGACTGTGCCTGTATCAAACATCTTTGATCAAGTATCAAACATACTTTGTTGGTTTTATTTTTATGGTCTACAGACTAGTCAAGAGTATGAAATGATCTCATATGATTTCTCAGTTAATTAGCTTGGTAGTTCTATCTTTTGGTCTTAGGAGTGAT